CTCCAGACAGTCTTTGCATCCTGTAGACTCCATTTTCTCAGTTTCTTCATTCTCTGCTGGGACCCAGAGCAGCTGTCCTGAGCCAGAGCTTCCCTGTGGCTGTCACTGATCAGACAGTGCTGTCACATCAAAGCTTGCAGGCTATCCAGCAAGCTGAGTCACTTGCTGATAAGCTGACCACATTGCCTCTTGTGTGGAAGGTTAGCTCACCAAGAAAAGCGATGCTATCACAGAATCAGAGAATCAGAGTGGCTTGAATTGGAAGGGACTTCAAGGATCATCAAGTTCCAACCCCCTGCCAGAGGCAGGGTTGCCAACCTCTACATCAAGGACCAGATCAGATTGCCCAGAGTCTCATCCCACCTGACCTTGATCACCTCCAGGGATGGGGCATCCACACCTCTCCAAGCAACCTCCTCCAGCACTGCACCACACTCTCAGTGAAAAACTTCTCCTAGTCATCTACTCTAAATCTTTCCACCTCTTAGTTTAAAACCATTCTCCCTTGTCCTATTACTATCTACTTTTGTAAAAAGTTTATTTCCCTCCTGTTTATTATCTCTCTTTAAACACTAGAGGGCCATAATGAGGTCTCCTCGCATACTTATCTTCTCTAAACAAGACCAGCTCCTTCAACCTATCTTCATAGGAGAGGTGGTCCAGCCCTTGGATCATATCTGTGGCCCTCCTCTGGATCCCCTCCAAATGCTTCATTTCTCTCCAGTGTAGAGGATCCCAGTCTTGGATGCAGTCCTCAAGATGGGGCCTCATGAGGGCAGAGAAGAAAAGGACAATCACCTCCCTCACTCTGCTGGTCACCCCTCTTCTGATGCAGCCCATGATACAGTTGGCTTTCTGGGCTGCAAATGCACACTGTTGGCTCATGCTCAGTTTTTCATCTACCAGGATGCCTCAGTCCTTCTCAGCAGTGCTACTCTCAAGGAATTCTCCCAGTCTGTATACATGTCTGGAATAACCCCAATCCAAGTGCAAAACCCTGAATTTTGCTTTGCTGAGCCTCATTAGGTTCACAGGAGCCCTCCTTTCAAGTTTATCAAGGTCCCTCTGGATGGCATCCCTTCCTTCTGTCGTATCAACTGCATCATTCAGCTTGGTGTCATCAGCAAACCTGTGGAGAGTGCACTTGATCCCATCATCTGTATCACTGATGAAGATGCTAAAGAGTTCCCAAGACAGACTCCTGGGGCACACTGCTCGTTACCAGCCTTCACCTGGACATAAAGCCACTGACCACAACACCTGAAAGTCAGTTCAGCATCACTTTGCTCCCAAACCATCTCTCCACCTGCAGATGTGTGGCTCCACTGCTTCTCATGATTGGCTGCTCATTTCCCCACACCCATCCTGGAACTTGTAGGTCAGACCAATGGTTGGACTTGGTGTTAGGGGAAGTTCAGGTTGGATATTAGGAGAAATGGCTTCTCAGAAAGAGTGGAGAGGCACTGGCACAGACTGCCCATGGATGTGGTGGAGTCATCGTCCCTGGACAAGTTAAGGAAAGGACAGATGTAGTACTTAGGGACATGGTTTAGTGGGCAGTACTGGTGGTAGATGGATGGTTTGACTAAACGATTTTAAGGATCTTTTCTAACCTTTATGATTCTATGATTCTATGATCTTGGAAGTTTTCTTCAACCCAAATGATTCTATGAGGACCTCGAGTACAGCTGGTCATAATAGTAATCCATAACAGTAAACCAGCACATACTGTACATCCTGCATCCTAACTGTGACCAAATATGGATAGAGAAGGCATGGCTACCTGGAAATGTGAAGTATTATCCCTTCCACCAAACACAAAAGCAGACCAAAGATCAGACAGACCGTGGAGCTCACCAAACTCCCTGAATGGAGCTTGTTTGCTCTACAAAACTGATGTTAGTGTTGAGATGCCTTGTCTATCAGCAGCCCAAGGTGGTAAGTCAGAAAGATTTATTAGCAGCCTGTACTTAGCAGTTCAGGCATGGGTGAAACAAATATATTAACCAGGTGCTGAGTGTCAGCCAGTGAGCTGGGCTCCTTGCAGGCTTTATCCACAGGACGGCAAGCTGGCTAGCATGGCCACATGGCTCAGTCCACTCTTTGCCAGACCAGCTCTGTCTAGCAGAGCTAGAGGGGTCTGTCTGATCCTCCACAGTAAGGAAACAAAGAGGATAATAGGTTGGGACTGTGAATTAGGCATCTCTCATAAGTACCACCCAAGCACTGCAGGGAATGAGACAGCTTGTCCCTATTACAGCGAGAGAGGAAATTCAGCATTGGCACGAGGCTTTCCTCCAAGCATTCAAAACCCTCAGGCAGACCCACTTGGCCCACACTGCAGCACGGAGAAATAAAAGCAGCTAGGGAATAGGAGTGCCCTAGGACCACTGTAAATCTTTACTTCATGGAAAATCTTATCTTGAACATGAATATGAGCTGCAAGTAAATTTAATGTGTGGATTAAGTGCGGTCTCCCTCATGGTGGGCTTTTCAGCCAAAAAAGAACAAAAGAACAATAATGAGTGTTGTGCTTGAGTATGATTACAAACATCTGTAATTTACAGCTGGACATTCCCCATTGCAAATGTGTCCAGTGAGCAAGTGCTTCTGGGTTAGCGGAACAGACTGCACAAAATTAGCTGTTAACTTCAGTCCTGAGGTCAGAGTTCCAGGACCATGGGAGTCAATAATAAAATCTATTTAGCTCAGTGGGATTAAGCAGGTTTAAGACCTGGCTTAACCACACCGCTCACTGTTAAATAATAACAGATCACAACAAATACTTCAGGTACAGACATTTTTCTTAATTTAAAAGCTATTTGGGCAATGGATACGAGAGTCAAACAGCTGAAGACTGGCAGTGTATCGTTAAAGTATATGAGTTAGATTTTTGTTCTTCTCTGTCCCAGAAATGGAGCAATCTTTGTAGTTAGAACACTTTATCAAAGAGCATAATAAAATTAAAACCAAGCTGTGCTGTATAAACACTGAGGGTTTTTCACGAGAGAATGCAAAGCTAATGGGGCCTGTGCATCTTTCCTGACAAAACAGTCAGTGCATGTGCAGAGCAACCTGTCTTCTGGAAGCAGAAAAGCTGTTTCAGTCAGGCTTCTGGGTCACTAATCTTTGTGTTTGCACATAAATCTGCTGGGGGTTACTGTGGCAGGCTGAAAACAAGACCGAGTGCAACACACTGAAGAAATCAATGGCCATAGGTTTAAAAACTCTTTTTTTTTTTTTTTTTTTTTTTTTTGCCTCTTTCAGTTTAGCTAGCTGTTACCTTTTTAACAGAAGTCGAAAGCAAAAGCATAAATAAGTGCAGTGGAGAATAGTTTTTTGAAAAGAATGATGGCTGAAATTGCAGAGAGCTTGGATTCACCAACCACCTCCTCTGGTGCTGGGATGTGCTGGTGCTCCTTGCTGCTGCTGGAACACGAGTTCTGAGCAGCCATATCACCCATGCTTCAGCCAAGGCCAAAGGGCTACTTTTGGCCCACTGCTCACACCTCAGAGAGGTAACACCTCTTCCTAAGGGAGACAGTGCAAGACCTGGGCGACGCTAACAGCTCCCAGGGGCAGCTCTGTAGGAATGTTCCTCATTTAGCACAGGGGAAGGGTGCTTAGAAGCCCCCCACAATCACAGAGAGGTCCCCACCATGTCAAAAGCTCTTTGTGTGGTGGCCAAGCTTCCACTCCACCATCGTCCTTGATACTGCCATGACTCTTCTTTCCCTTTGAGTTTGTCCCTTCTACAGCCAATACTCATATGCCCTACAACCAACCCACCAATTTCACCCACATCCCATATGTTTCACCCTGGCATTTTTTTCCTTAAGGGGGGCGGAAAAACCCTCTAAACAAAACAGTGTTTGTAAACTGTGCGGGTGGTGGTGGGGTGTCGATAATTTTGGCAGTCTTAGCCTCAGAGCAGAGAGAAATGTTATTCATCCGTGCACAAGATATAATTCAGCCTAAGTGACAGGCTCTGCTCTAGAGAAATCCCGGCCCGGGCTGGCTTCAAGAGTCAATTACTGCTTATTCCCAGGGAGGCGGGGGCAGGGGGCCAGGCGGGTGGAGGGGGCTGCCAGCAAGGCAGGGGGAAATTTACTCTGTGTCAGCCTGCGTGACACAGTGCCTCATTTGTGGATAAATGTAAATCTGCTGGTTCTTTTTCACAGGCACTAAAACGTACGGTCTCTCTCCCTCCCCCCGTTCCCAAAACTGGAAAAGAAATTAGGACCGTCTTAGAAAGCTACCTTATATTTCAATCAATCCTCTTTCATAAAAGTCATTTAAGGTAAATACCTGTGCAGACTTACGGCCCAACTATAACATTTACTGTGGCCCAAATCCCGAATTCCTCGCTCGGCCACTTTCTCATTGAAGTTGATGGAAATTCACTTGCAAAAGAGCTGAGTAAAAGCCGAATGCTGGCTGAGGATTTGGTCCCTTGCCTATCTGCCTGAAGCACTGCTGCAGCTCCAGAAGTGAAAAAAAAAAAAGAATTAAATTCCTCTAAAATACCCATCCCTCAAAACTTACGGGGTGAAAAAAAGGCATTGTTTTTGTGCATGAAATGTATGGAGAATCTCATCGCAGGAAGAGCAATTCCCAGGGAAAGAATTTGGAAAAAGTCAAAAGAGAACATCTCAAAATAAATGAAGTACTTATTGCTGAAAAATGAGCTTAGATATATCTCAGGAAACTCTAAAGCTGAGAATTTACTGCATCATTCATGCCTTCTGCAGTAAGTTCCTTATCTCTCGTTTGGTATCACAACAAGGGATTCTGCATACTCTGTATGAAATACAACAAGACTGCGATTTTTGCAGTAATAAACTCTACACATGCATGACAAATCCAAGCATGCAAAATGTTTAACATCCCAGTTCGCAGATACTTTGGGGACAAAATCCGATTATGAGTTATATGCCACAATAAATAGGGCTCAACGTTTCATAAAGCAATTTATAGTTCATAAAAATGACAAAATGTACCTGTCAGACAGAACGCGGAGAGCAGATCTCTGTGCTGCCTGCTGGAAGAAAGGGCAGAGATGTTTATTTTATATTCTGACTTTAAAATTACGAGCACAATCAACACTTTAAAAAATGCGTTACACACATTTTTGTCACGTGTCCAAATTTTAAAGTACTACCAAAGTAACAGAAACTCTACAGCAAAATGGACATTCCAGCCTGGTCAATGTAAGAGCACTTTGTTAAGCGTGCCATAAACCAGGGGGCTGTCAGAGCACGGTGCAGTATTTGAGGTCTGAACTGCTCTATTTAGATGTTTTCTGCAGGTCTCTGAGAGAGAACTCTGCAGGGCTCAGCTCTCCTCCTTCCCCTCTCCCCGCTCTGCGCTCCCACTCCCTCTCCTTTACCATCAGTCTCCTCCCATTCTTCCACAGAAACAAACATCACATATTTGGTTCCTTGTGCGACGAAGCCCGTAGCTATAATTACAGATTTAGCGAAGCCTGCCAGGGCTGCTGCAGACTTTTCCAGAGCGCTGCCATGTCAATCTGCTGGCAACCCTTGGCTATGCAGCGCAGGATTGACCTGTTGCTGGTTTGCTCCTCGGCTTTTGCCTAGCACAACTCTTTGGATGGGGTGGGGAAGCATGGTGCTTGTTCTTGTGTTAGCCAGCAGTCCTGGGAATAGAATCATAGCCTCTCAAGTTTAATAGGACTCCCAAGCCTATCCCCGAGCTGGTTTGCCACTTTATTATTATTATTCTTTCCCCTCCTTGAATCACTTCAAGCAGGGTGATTCATGGCTTCGGTACAGTAATTAGCTGCTAAGCAAAGATGAAATCCATAATGTTCTGAAAATCTGCTTTAAAGCCCCAGTTCTGCTTGCGGCTGCCCTCCCCTCTTGTCCTCATCTGAGCTGTGTCCCGCCTGGCAAAGAAAGGACACAAAGCCACATGGCACGGATAAGAGAGGGAATTGAACGTACATTTTCGCTTTGCAGCCACCAGCAAGTATGTTTTGCAACCAATCCCTCTGGCTTCTTAAGATAGGGGAGGCTGCATCCCCAGCCCTGAATGCACAAATTGGCATTGTGGTCAGAACTGGAAAGCATGAATGTAGGTAGGTTAGATGTTAGGAGGAAATTCTACATTCAGAGGGTGGTGAGGCGCTGGCACAGCTGCCCAGAGAAGCTGTGGTGCCCCATCCCTGGAGATGCTCAGGGCTAGGTTGGATCAGGCCCTGGGCAGCCTGAGCTGGTGGCTGTCAGGAGATGAAGACTATGCCGGTAGAATGGCTCACAAGTGGGTTCTCCTTTAACTTCACCATTCAACAGAGAGCCCATGGGAAGGGCTGGATAGGTTCCACCAGCTCAGTGGGAAGGTGCCCATGGCACACACCTGCTGACTTCAGTGTTAGGAAAATAGTAATGGGAACCTAGTCGTATTATTATCTCTAGTAGCTCAACATACTTGCATGCTCTTTCGGTACAACCCTTTTCAACTGCCCTCCATTTCAGCACTCCAGCACTGTGACTGTTCTTGCTTCTGATTAGGGGCTCACTATAACGGTCTCACCCCACTACTGGTGTAAAGATACAGGAAAGACCCAAACCTTAGGTTTAAGGATGTCCTGTGACTTAATGCTGACCTCTGCAGTGTGCTATGACTTTGCAAAGCTCAGGAGCCTCCTCTCACTATCAGATCCCTTTCCCACAGCCAAGTAATGCAGATACTGCTCAAGTCACCACATTCGTCCTCTCCCACCCTTTCCTTGCAGGCAGCCACTACGTGGCAGTGCTCTTTAAGACACTGTGAATTATTTCCCACTCTTGGCTTAGACCACCGCAGGTGGTGTGATGAAGCGGGTTAGAAAACTGATCCAGCTGAAAAATAGCACTTTTCCTATATTTATTTATTTACTTTTCCTTTTTGTCAGCTCATTTGTAACCTGGATGGTGAGTCTATTTTCATCTCTCCTACACCTTTCTGGGGAAATGCAGAGCTCAACCGGAGCAAGGTATGTGGTGGCCAGAGGAGCCAGAAGGCACTGAAGGAGATGGTTGTTCGGTGGCCGGAGTCCTCAGAGACCTACAGAGACACCATGGAGGCACATGTGGACTTTGATGATCCTAAAAGTTCCCTAACATGGGGATGTGGGATGCATGCCACTCTCATATTTCCCCAAAACTCCCAATTTTGAAAGAGGAAGAAGAGCTGAGTGCTTTGTCTCCCAGTCCAGGTGGAAGCAACCCTAAGGAGAGAAGAGGAGAAGACTCTTGTATGATCTGCAGGGAATGTTAAACTGAGCTGGGCCATGTGGAGCTGGGCTGCAGTCTGAAGTGCCAGTCTCTAGTTTCCATTTTGGTATATCCAGCTGACAGCATTGAAAAGGTGATCCTTTCTGGGCAAGCAAGTGCATTCAGATGACAGGCAGGGCAGCAGAAAGAAATGTAAAAGTACTTCTCAGTGAGATCATTCTACTTTTTCAATTGGCTTCTCATATTAAGTCCTTTAATAGGTGTCCTTCTTTACCAGGATGCAGTGCAGGTTGCAGGGGGCAACTGGCGGTGGCACATTCTATAAATGAGACTATTGATTTCTTTCTCATGGGTTTGAAATGCAGCCATGTTTGACTGCATGTTTGTCTGACCCCTTGAGTTGGTAATGGCCCCATTTCTGAATGAATGGGGAATAAGATCCAGTTGCAAACTTACTCTTCCTCCCTGGAGGAGCAGATCTATTGCCTGCAATGAACGGCAGTTAGCAACTATCTGGCAATTTTAATTCTGGCCTATATTGCTCCCATCTCCTGGAGAAAGTGAGCTATTGTAATTAAAGGTAGTTAGCAGTTCCCTAGCAAGAATAAATACTTGCAATTACAGTCTGTTCTCTCGTTCCCTTGCTACACGGTTTGGCTGCTCAACTTGTGGGGAAATATCTGCCCCTGGTTCTTGCTAACAGTTTATTGTGCCCCCATTCAAGTTTATTCACGAATCCCCATGGAGGGTCATGACCCATAGCTTGAGAAAATCTTGCTACAGAAACAGCTTTCTTTGATTTATTATGTTTCTAATATGCTGGCATTATCTATGTAGCAATGTAAGCAGAAGGGTGGTACTTAAGTATCATAAACTTCCCTCACCACTGTTTTTGAATACCTTGCTTTTGATTGTGCTACTTTATTTGCATTTTATCTTACATCATTAACAACATTATCGAGACCAGCTCACCATCCATCGAGAAAGAAGATGAGAATATATTATACATTCTTTATTATTCCTGGAAGTAAGTGTTTGTTGCTTATATAAATCAGGGATAAGAAATAATTTTGCTGCTGCCAGAATTTAAAGATCTCCAAGAATGATCACTAAAAGGTATTTTGTGGGAAGCTTAATATTCTCTTGATAAGTGATTATGTTGTACTCTGAGTTGTTCAGCATTACTGAGTGTAACCCTAACATTTCTGTTCCTGGAACTAATGGGGTTACTCATTGAGGGAGAGTTTCCCCAGAACGAACAAGGATATTGAAGGCCAGCCCATCATATAATAACTTTAATGCTAAGTAGGAAGCAGGGTAGAAAAAAAAATATCCCTTAGGTGACTCAGGTACTTAGGCTTGAGAAACTAGCCACAGTAAGTGTGATGGATTACTCCATTTCACTACATCAAGAGTTGTAAATTACAGGATACTGGCTGGTTAGACTTCTTCGTCTCTCACCTGAATTGGTTCTAGATACATTTAGGGCAGAGTTTCATTGATCTGCCTATAGTTCATTAATCATTCATGAAAGATCCTAGCTGTACCCCAACACTACCAAGACAAAACAAGTTTTCAGACAGTAGTAATCACATTCATGTTCTCAATCTCCAGAGCCTGCATCTACTTTCTTCATCCTTTATTGCAGTGAGCCACAGCTTGGGAGCATAAACAGCACATATTCATGTTTCAGTGTGTGTGTTAAATGAGCTACCAAAATTACCTGAAGTGTCACAAACTGCAATCTGTTGTTTAAGGGAAATCGGAGAGGAAATTAAATACTTTCATAGTAATTGGGACTGAACAGTGAAGAGGACGGACTGAACATAGCTCTTAAGGATGAGATCTAGGAGTGCTGAGTGGTCCCCAGATTTTTTATTTTTATTTTTTTTTATATCTAGTTGGAAAAGGATTGCTTCATAAACTGCCAGGCTTGAGGCATTTTTGGAAAAGAAGCAAATGAGAACTACTGAAGAATATTTTATGGAGTTTGGAGTGTCTTGGAGGCACTGCAGACAGACGATGAATGCATTTTCCTTTACATCACTCAAGGCATGCTTTGGCAAATAAAAGCCAATAAACTGACCATTGGTGACTCAGATATTTTGTTTTCCATTTTTCTTCTAATCACTGCTACTGCAAGAGAGCTCAGTCACGGCAATTGTGTGGAGTTATACCAGGTACAGCAGAGACTTCACTGAGGCAGTGCAGTGTACATAAGGTGAGAATCTGAACTGCTTCTTTGGTCATGGTGTAACAATTCTTACTGCCTGTACATGAGAAAATTGTGTTGCTTCCAGAGTATCCTGGTTGCCTTCTTTGGGTATTAGGTTTTGCCCTGGAATGATGCAGTGAGCCATTTGTGCTCTTAAGTGATCACCTCCCTTATTATTAGCCATCCAAACTACTGGACACTACCATGCACCTACTGAACTGTAGATGAACTTCTACAAGCTAAGGTTGATGAAAGATGTTTTTACTGAACGTTGCTCTTTGGCAATCAGACTTTTATATGTCTTCTTTCCTGTTTCATTTGTCATTATTTTCCACACTGATTCTGTTTTAATTTCTTAAGGTTTTGGTTGGTTTTAGTTTAAATGCATTTCATCCCTAAGCTAGTGAAGCCATGGAAAAGTTTTCTGAATGGCACAACCTGACTGCTTGCCATAATTTGGACTATAGGACTCTACTTAGCCTTTTATCTGCTTCAGATCTGGGACCTATGGCAAAATTCTGGATGATCCTATTGCAAATCCACCTCCGTCCAACCACTCATAGGGTTCTTCACTCTTGTGTGAAGATA